GGGTTCCGAGGGAGCCATCAGGGACTGTATGCACATACATATCTCCGCCTTAAGCTCTATATACATACACATGTTTACACATACATATGTATAAACGGTATAATACATGAGTATACATATCCCTGGGTCCATGTGTACATGTTACTGGACTGAACCTTCACAAAAAACCCTAGTTCTTCATTTCGAGGCCTGTGGCACATGGTTTTCACTTGCTTCTGAGTGCATGGCTGACAACCGTTTTCGATCAAATCCTGAAAACCAGGAGTCGCTTGATACGGTTGATGATATAAAATCCTGCATCACCCATAATAAAGAATATACCATAGTTCCCATAGCTTAGGGTCCTAAAGGTAATGCAGGGTTTATATCATCAACAGTATCTAAATACTTTCAGAAACCATCGCGGAACTTTCGAGGCGTTTTGACATAAAGTGTGCCCCAAGGACGCTAAGATCAAATTCCACCATATATGTACATATTGATATACATATGTACATGTGTTCTAAACCTTGAACCCCCTAGACTCAGATCTTTCTTGGGTGTTTTTGAGCTGCCCACTTGGAGGATCATGGGACTTAGTAACTCGGGTTTTTTCTGAGGTAACTGACTATAACTGACTATAACCCCGATCAATGTACTTACAACCTTACTAAGTTCCATGATGTTCAAACCCTAAACCCTAAACCCCACGGGAAGGGTGCCCCCTGTTTCTTGCCAGGGTTTTTGCAGCAGCTTCCTGGCTTCGCCAGGGCTCCGGACAAAGAAGAGATTCAAAGGTTAACATAGGGGTTAAGGGTTTAGGGTCTCAACGACTGGAATAGGGTGTTTGCGAATGTTCTACTATACTGTTGTCGGATTAAGAGCGACAGGGGAACACGATTAGGAATTCCATTCAAAATTCTTCCGACTCCCTCCGCCTAATAGCAAGACCCCTGCCACTCCAACGGTCCGGCCGATAGGATCAGACAGGAATCTATCGTAGCTGATCGCTGCAGATTACATGTCCGCTTCAAGCCCCTTGCGAACTTTGTCAAGGAGAGCTTGAAAAGTATAGGGCAGGGGTCGCCTCGCATTTTCAAAGATGGGGTGGGCGGCGTTGCCCACATTCTCCGACAGAACAGTCATCCGACGATCGCTCTTCTGGTAGATCCCATGCTTTGCATGTGCTCTACTAGAGTCTTCAGACCCACGCACTTCTGTAAATATGCCGGGTTTGAAGTCAGGTTCCGCGAAACTTTGACAGCTGCCCCGTCCAGCCGTAGGCCGGGCCCGACGTGTGCGGACCTCAGCCGTGCAGCAATGCACAGCAATGCGCAGCGATGTACAGCAACGCTGTCCTATGAAAGGAGGCATCTGTAGCTCTGATGATCGCTTCAAACAGACGTGTGGAGACTGCAGCAGCAGGAACCGCAAGCAAAAAGTTATGGTCGCAAGGCTTCTTGCAGCTTGCGAGTGCAGCTGCTGCCTGTGGAATCTCTCTGCCAAGCTGCGGTTGAACAGATGCCTCCTCGCCGACAAGGCCGCTGTTTCCTAGCCCGCAGGACGATCTGCTCACTTCCAATGCACGGCATCCACTCTTGAATATGTGCATGACAGGCGGCACCGAAGGGCGTACCCACGGCAAAAGCTCCATCAGCCTTACCGGGCCGGAATCCTGTGTAACCTGGCAGGTTCCAAGAGAGCCCAATACCCCTTAATTAAGGAATATGGCTTAAGTCAAAATATGAAACTTATTATTTAAGGTATATTTTTTGACTAAGGGGTATTGGGCTCTCTGGGTTCGAGGTGCAAAAGCTCTCTGAGGGTAAGCCGCCTAGTTCCACGAGTTTCCAACGACATTTCCTTCCGGCGCTGAATAGACTGCGTCTAAGCCCTAAACCCGAAACTCTACACCCGTGGCAATGGCGTCCCAGAAACTCCGAAAAAAGAGAAGCCCTGGTAAGGAGTCCGGATCCTCTCAGAGACTCTAAAACCCCATAATTAAGGAATATACCTTAAATTATAGTAGGACCCCCAATATGATTTAAAGTAGGTTCCTTAATTAAAGAATATACCTTAAATTATAGTAGGATCGCTAATATGATTTAAAGTATATTCCTTAATTCAGGGGTTTTGAAGTCTCTGGGCCCCCTTTCTGCCAGTGCGCCTGGCACCTCTTTGGTTGGCATGTCCTTTGCATGGCGGCAGCAGGAGCGACTTTTGGCTCCCAGAGAACCCAATACCCCCCTAATGAAGGAATATACCTTAAATTATAGAGGCCTTAATACTATGATTTAAGGTATATTCCTTAATTAAGGGGTATTGGGATCTCTGGGCTTTCTGTTCTCCTAGCCCTCTGATCGTACTGCGAACATCTACGAACCTTCAGATCTGGTTCTCGGGCCCATTGTACTGTGATTATAATAAGGGGTAGAGGTACTGGCAATTACTAAGGCCCCTTATATTAGTTCTGCACGCTAGCCCTTGCTCTTCAGAGTTGATGTAGGCAGTGGTCGGCAGCCTTCCTTATCTTCAGACCTCCAGAGGCTCCGAAGCGGAAACTATCCCAACAATTCCCCATGAAGCTCCGCAGAAGCCAACCCCCAAGATGCAGGCGTCCCGCCTACCGCGAGCTAAGTTTTGACTGGCATTGGGCAGGTTCGGGGTGGGCGGATTAGTTCCGCAAGTATCGCACTTCCCTATGCACCTGATATAAGTGGAGGGTCGTAAAAACTCGTGCTGCTATTCCTCAGAATTCCTTTCTTGTCAATATATGCACAGAAATAAATGTGCCCGAACACCTCATCCTATCTGCTTAGGCCCGACATCGGCCCGACATGACACTAAAGCCAAAACCCCTAAGGATCCCTTATAGATCCCTTTAAGGGACCCTTTAAGGAACCCTAAGTCCCCTAAACCCCCTAAGGATCCCTAAACGGACGCCCTCTTTCCAAGCCCAGGTGCTCGAGGAAAGCGAGCAAACTTGGTGCCACGGGCTGATGGCTCCCTGCAAGATGCCTGTGGCTCCGTTAAAGGGTGCCTTTAATTAATCGGTTTAGGGTTTATAAGGGTTTAGGGTTTAGGGTTTTTGGGGTTTTGGGTTTACGGTTTAGGCCTCACTCGTCTGAAGGTTCCCGCTTAGGGTCCCTTATCTGAGGGTTTTGCAAAGGGTCATTTGGGGCTCCTCGGAAATTGGGGATCCGACGCGGCATCTCTTATCAAAATGTCCCCAACCCGAGTTTAGGATCTAGGGTCTGCTAGTTCATGAGGTCAAGGGCCTAGGGTCTACAAGGTCTAAGATTGAAAGGTCTACACCGTTTTGGGCTTGAGGCATGACCTAAGGTTTCCCAGTGTCCCCTGAATAATGGGTGTAGTAGTTTTTCTGACGTTCTGCTGTAATAAGGGAACCTTCCAATAAAAAGCGCAAAAGGGTACAACTCAAGACCCTAAAAGTTAACTAGAATACAAAGGGCAAAAGGGTACAACGAAGGAACCGAGGATCCACCTCTGCTTCTTTTGCAGAGGGCGTCCCCAGCCGCAAAGGAAGCTGGAAAACCTGAGTTCGGCAAAACGCGAGCCCTTTTTCATGCTTGGGGCGTCATGGGACATAGCAACTCAAAGGCTTCCATAAAGGGCTCCTGTAGGGGATCTATAGGGGTTTAGGGTTTAGGGCCTACTTGGAGGTTCATGGGACCTAGTAGGTACACCTTTGTTGGGGAATATACCTGTAGTCATAAGATCCAGACCCTTCCGGCATTTTCCTTATTGAAGGGATATGCCTCAAAATACATTACTTACAAGGGCCTTGAGTTAATCAATCTTATGGTTGCATGCTCCTTTGCAAGGGTCCATATAACAAACAATTTTAATTTTCAGAACGAGACTCCGTATAAGATCAACAAATAGAAAAGCTGTGTGTTGAGACGCCAAATGTCTATACTGGGCTCTCTGGATTCCCACCCAGAGACTCCCCCAAGGAATGTGCCTTAAATTATATGTTGTCCTATTATAATTTTGAGGTATATTCCTTAACTAACGGGTTTTGGAGTCTCTGGGCAGATTCAGGATCGTAGTCGTCGGGGCTACAGTCCGGGTTCCTTCTGTTCAGACACTCCAACATGGCACAAATGCCCTATCCGAAACGGATGAGGTGTTAGGCTCGCTGCCAGTACGTGTACGGTAGCAGCACCGTGCCCTAAACCCTAAACCCCCTTCTGCAACTGGCTTGCAACGTCACGCCGGGACAGCTGACTCGCGCAGAGCTGCACTCGTGACAGAAACCATAAACCCCGAATGGATGGATGCGCCAAGGAGCCGCAAATTCTTGTCGCCGCAGGGGGAACTGCTCCATTTCCGGAAGCTTCACCATGGCCGCTCAACTTATGTGGGAGCCTTAATAGTTTAGAATAGGGTTTTGGGGTTGGTGCAATATTGTCTTACTTAGAACTGCCATGTTCTGCACCTCAGCCATATCTCAGCCTCGGAGAACGACATGCAGAGACTGTTATCCAAACCTTCCCGCAAGTCGACTCGTCGACACCTCCAACATGCAGGCTATGCCCTCGTGAAGGCAAGCTGCACCTGTTTACCGTAGTATCAACATATTGCTGTTCAGAAACATGTATACCAATATCATTCTTATGATTTAGTACTATATGTATATAGCATTTCTCTTTGACAGCAAAAAGAAATATTGATGGGGGTTTCATGGAATGAACCGCAGACCTGGCCATCCTTTTCGACTGCCGACTGCAGAGTATGGCGACCGCAGGGGTCGGGGCCGGGCGGCTTCGCCGTCGCAGCCCTGACGTGAGCTGAGTGCCGTGTGAGCAAGGGAGCACCTCACCCTGCGAGAGGATTGAAAACGTCAGTGGAAGAACCACAAATAACACATGAGACAACCTATGCTAACTAACTGCATCTAACTTTAACATACTTTGACTGTTCAGTTCCGATGTGACTGATGTGCTGCGCAAGCTTCCGGAAATTTCTCATGGAGTGCAAAAGTCTACGTTAAACGGCTAAATAGCACTTGGAGAGCTGCCCTCCTCGACGCGTTGCAGGTGCGAGGAGTCTGCAGTCTTTTGTTGGAGCAGCTGGGCTTCAGGGGCCTGTATGCCGTGGACACCGTGAGATTGCGATGCCCTGATGGACTCCGAAGTGTCCTCAGTCTGCATTCGTAATTCATATACAGCTCCTTTAAAGACTTCCCTTTGAGAAGGGTTACTATGAGGGTTATACGTAGAGCTCCTACGGGTCATGGGGCTTGGGATTCGGTTTCGTCGAGGAGCAATGAGCTGCGCAGCGACGTCCTGCAAGAGCTCGTGTGAGCGCAGAGGTTTTGTCGACACAGAAACTGGGCTTTTAAGTAACCAGGGAGAAAACAGTATAGACTTTTTTTTCATAATTGGTTCCCTTTAAGTACCAGGACCCAAGAAAGTCTTAAAGTATGGTACTCCAAAGCCCAGGAAATCAAGCACATCCGATTGAGCAAACGCTGCCATGTGCAAAACCAAATTGACCTCCTCAGCATGCCTGGCTGTCGGATCAATCCATACTCTCATAGTTTCACAAGCCTGGACAGTGGACACAACCATGATGTGACAATGTCCTTCAAAAGGACGAGGCTGTCCACCAGAGTTCCTTCAACTGCCTGCAGTTGTTGGTGTGTCCTCTGGGACCTTGGCAACAGCCACGAAGCTGCTTTTGCCACACTGTCCGTAAAACACAACTGAACCCTCCAACCCCTAAATGGCTGGTTCTTAGCGGGCTTCAGCTTTTCTGGGGGAGTCAGCCCAGCGGCTGTCGCATCAAGTCGACCTCCCTCGCGGGCCCGCGGATGTTGATGCAGCCCTCCACAAACTCACTGATCCCGATTCTGTGATCCCCATCCTCGGAGGATTTAGAATTTCAGTCTCTCGCAGGTGCAGGAGGCAAGCCCAGAGGCACAACTGCCTGGGTAACCTCTACACTTGCAAAAACTCCACACCCAGAAGCACGCAACAGCGGCAAGCGGCTCGATCCAGGCTACGGAAGATTGTCCATGCATCCTCAGCCTGACGGAGAAGCTAATGAGTTCCGGTCAACCCTCAACGCTCATCCCAATCTCTCTTCATCTTCCTTAGAACATCTGCACCCCGGTTCTTCCACCGTTCTTGGCCTTTGAGCAGCATCTAGCACTCCGCCGAGGGACTCACCATGCAGCACAAAAAGTAGAAGTCCATGCAGGCCTGCCTTGATGCCCAACGCTTCGAACCATGCCCTCGTGCTCTCCACCTTGAAACCATGTTCGAACTCCTGGCTTCCGGTAAAAATGAGCATGGGGGCACGGAGCTCAGACGTGTGGGTTCGAACTTTCGAGGGCTACGTAGGTCCTTAGGTGGACTACGCAACTAGCACCGATGTCATTAATTACTGTGAAATTTTTTGCAAGCCATCACTGCCCGCAATTTCAAACGGTCGAGCTATGTCCCACACTCCTTTATCGTGATCATGCCGCTCTCGTCATGGTCCATCATCTGGAAGAGCTCACCGAAGACTGTCCGTATCCTTGGCTGTCTTCGGAAACACTAATCCACGAAAACTTGCAATTCAAAAGCAAGCTTAACTGTGCAGGCATTGTACTAAGAAGGTTCTCCGGCTGTCAGGCACAGGAGGCATATTAGGTTTCAGACCGAAACAAGCACAGCATCCGTTCCTGTTCGCCCACCATGGACTGGACCATGAACTCATGGTCTTGCTCCGCACCGGCGATTGCAGAATGGCAAAACACCTGAGCTGCACGGCAGTCGAGCGGGCAAAGCTATCCTTCTTTCCGATCACTTTTGCTGGCTCACTTCCGAGATCTGGACAAACAACACACAACAGGTTTCTCGCGAAATCCAAGAGGCCCCCGTCATCACCTTGCATGCAAGCATTGACCCTCTGCTAACCAGTCACTCGCAAGCTGGAACTTCTGGGTCGGTCATCCGTGTGAAAAACTGCTCAGCAAATCAACAGAGCACGCCAAGTGCCTGTGACCCCGACCCGGTATGTACTACTGCTGCATGAGATAACCCACCCCAGATCGAAACAAACGAATGCTGCCCAGGTGCATTTAACACAGCAAAGCAGCAAAACGAGATATACCTTAGCTACTTCAAATTTGGGCGTGCCGCACATCTTAGCACCGAACCATTGCAATTGCGGCTAAAGAAAGCCCGCAGCCTCATCAGCCTGACGATTTCCGACTTTTTATTGGCTCACCGTCAAACAGCATTCATAAACATGCCCCCAACACATACAACATGATATCTCGATAATTGAAGTTGATGCTCTCTTTTTCTCTACGTTCTTTTGCGCCCCATCTGAGCCTGGAATTTTGTGCGGCTTGTGCACTCTGAGGGATGCTTTTTGGGGTTTGTGCTGGCCTTTAGGGCCTTAAGATTTTTACTCTCTGGGTAACCTGCTCGTCCTGGGCATAGCGTTTTACTACGGCACTGCACCGGATTTCCGCTGCTACGAGGGCTACCAGGACTTTTGAGGAGTTTATTCAAGGGTTACGGACGATTGTACATGCTGTTCTGAAAGCTGCGTAGAGTTTTATGAAGGCTTCAGTTCTGCCAGTTGTACAGTGATATTTGGACTGATAGAAAGGGGCCGCCAACTGCAAGGATTGCCGCCACTGCCTGACATATCTGAATGGTTGAGTGGACAATGAGTCTGGTGCGCGGGTGCCCGCCAAAAGAGCAAATCTCTACACATCAGCTTCCAGACATCTCCTCCGGTTGGTTTCATAAGACATGTCAACTCATGTCAACTTGCAACTCGCTATCATTGAATCGGAACGTTTTGAAGGATTCAATCATTACACATCAGCTTGGCATACTCGGCTTTTCAAACTCAATTTTGCGGATGTTTTGCGGAGACGTTAATGAGAATTCACATGTGGGCAATATCTGCGTATGCTGCTTTTGATGTCCGCTTGACAAAAACGGCACGACCTGGCAGCACCTGCCACACCACGCCTTGCCTTCGACATATATAGATAGCATGGTATAGGGTCCGACGGTCCGACTGCAGAGCAGCGCAAGCTGCGACACTGTTCATAGGGCGCGATGTACCATGCGGCATGCAAGTGCATGTTGCACCACTGCACGCCGTCGCACTTCAAACTCTTCAAAGCTTTGATGCCAGGCTGTCATATCAAGTGACAGAGGTCCACGTGAGCTTGATGTATGTAGGTCTTCTTGCCGGCCAAGGAAATGCCACTGTCATCAGGCTGCATGCGCAGAGTGCTCCAATCTCACGCCCAATCGCAAACTACACAGCCGGGTACGCTTCCAAGCCAGTGGATGGCAGCACGTCCTTTGAAGCTTCCATGAGGATGTGCGTTGCGGTAGCCTTGTCGACATCCCGAAGCCAATGCCACTTTGCGGCACCCTGCAAAAATCTTGACTCCCAGATCCCATCCAGCGATCACACGGATCACACATGGCTGTTGGCAAAAGGTGATGCTCGAGTTCGTCGTGCTCTCCCATGGTGAGGTGTTAAGGCCTTTGTCGGCTGACGAAGCAGGCGTGTTCTGAACCATGCCAAGTTGTGGCGTGAGACGTCGACCTCGCCCGCGGATCCTCATGAGCCAGAGTGTGTTGTTTGGCCCGGGTAGCAGGCGAAGCCAACTCTGAACTATCACTGTAGCGCCACTGCGGGCGTGAGTCCATTCTGACAAACATCAGTATGAACGAGAAGCGAATGCGCCCGCCTTTTATTGTATTAGCCCGTACACGCACTTCACTTTTCCGAACGTGCCGGCGAAAGGATTCCATACGAAGGCTATGCGAGCGGTTTCGTTTGTTTGACGATGTTGACGGCTAGTTGCCAATCAGGATGGTGACACATACGCCATTGTGGTGCTCGGATGGTCGACCCTGAGACGCCATTTATCGCAGCACATGAACAGGCTTCGAAAATCGGAAGCTTCGCCCGTCCAAACCTTCTCGGTCGACGTGCTGGAGCTCCACATCCTCACAGGATCCCACTCCGGAGGCATCTACATCAATCGCTCGCCTACAAGTCGGATGTCGGAAACACACTCGTGGGCCTCATGATCTGGTCGCGCTCAACGCCCTTAAATTGGCGACCAAACGAGGTCTCTGTGCAGTTCACTCAGAGCTTAGCCGTGTAGTCCTCAACCAAAAATGTAGGTCGGTGCAGTGCGACGATATCAAACTCTGGAAAGATATCTTGATAAGAAACAAAAGTCTCTGTGTGCCTGGGAGAGGTTTTCCTGTTTGTACGAGCAACCCAGGACCCCGTTCACGCTGACATCGTTTCAGCTGTGGTTCCGCAAGCCAATGTTAAGGGGCTCCGCATATACTATCATTGTGTAACCAGGTTGCAAAACCCACAATAAGATCAATAGACTTCTCTTTTCGTGACATGGGTAGCCCAAACAGTACGGCACACTTATAAAGATGACCCTAAAAAGGACCCCAATTTAGAGAGATTACCCAAACGTTTGTGTGTGCATGTGCCGGGTCTTGCGTGGCTTTTGAAGGTCTTGCATGGTCTCGGGTGGGGCTTGCTGCCCCGAGCATGCTGGATGATACAATGTAACTTTATGACAAAGAGGAACCGTACCCAGGTAGACGAAGGCACAGAATGAAGAGGGACGTCCACACCCAGCCAACCACGTTCAAAGATGACATAGCGTGCCTGCAAGAAGATGTGCAGGCATGGCTTGCAAGTTCTGGCGTCGACAGCCTGCCTCCATTCCAACCCTCCGGAGATGGCCGCGAAAAGCCTTGGTCCATGCGGGGCTGAGAGTACCAGCCCGTGCCCACTGCAAGCTTAAAGCAGCCAAGACGAGGAGCGTGAACATTGAGATCTGCAGGCTTCCGAAGAAGTCTCGCAGCTCGTCGACTTCGACTTTGGGGTCTGTTGCCATGGTCATGGTGGTCAGGTAGGCATCGGAGAAGAGGATGGAAAACAGATAGATGATCAGAAGAAGGAGGACGACGGACCTTAGCTTGCAGGGGGGAGATAGGAAAATTCGGCGATCTTACCATGGCCACCTGAGAAGAAAAGGATGTTTGCAAAAACTCAGAATCTGCAAAACAAAATAAGCCCCTAAATCACTAAACTTTAAACTCCGAACCTGGGGTGCTGCCCGCACTCGGTAACAGTCTACATTCGGGTGTCATATTAAGGGCTACACATAATTATGCCGCAAAAAGCATCCAGCTGTTACACAGTTTCGTCATTACACGACCTATATAAACTAAACTCTTGTAGTACCCTTGTACAACTCTGAAAAGGAATCCTTGAAAGCGAACCCTCAAAGGAATCCCCAGAAGAACCCTTGCAGTGAATCCCTAAACCCTAAACCCTAAACCGTGGGGCCCTAAGCTCCCTTCTCTGAAGCCGGGTGTCCAGATCAGAGACTTGAGAGTGATGCCAATGGAGAACACCAGGATCCGAAGAGGGCGGATAAATCCTGAATGGTGCCACGGAAGCTGTGGTTTTTTTGCTTGTGTATCCCATATGAGAGTTTCCGAAAATTCGGGGTACCTTATTTGGGGGTCCTCATAATAAGGATCCTACTATTTAGGGTACTTTTTTTGGGTCTCCTATTTTCGCAAACCGTAATCTTGCGTGTGCAGAAGAATTTTGACAGCTGCTTCTGGACGGCGATCTGCTGCCACACTGCGGCTTTTGTGCGAACCTGTGCAGCAGAACCGTAGCCGTGTTGATGAACCTGCCTGGAGAAAAGAAACGTGAGCAAAGACAGGTTCAATCCTAAACATAAACATACACAGACAGATAGACAGACAGTCAAACAGGTAGACAGGCAGATAGGTAAAGAGACAGACAAAAAATGATATCGGTGCGGATGCATCTTAATTCTATATCTGCCGTCTCTGGAGCTGCTTACTCAGAAGTTCTGCCGAAAATGGTGTGCTTCCTTCTTGTCTATGTGGGTGGTTGTCAAAATTAGGGTCCCTTTTGGACTTTTGGGGTCCTTACAATGCGGCACTGTAATATTTAGGGTACCCAAGAAGGGACCATGATTTTGACAACTACCCATGTAATTACCTGCTCATTAGAGCGATCCTTGCCCGACGAGGAATTCCTTTATCTAATACCCGCCCGGAGTTTCAGAACACAAGCGAAGCGAATTACAGGAGCCTTGAGGGTTTAGGGTTTAAGGTTTAGGGTTTAGGGTTTAGGGTTTAGGGGTTTAGGGTTTAGGGTTTAGGGTTTAGGGGTTTAGGGTTTAGGGTTTAGGGTTTAGGGTTTAGGGTTTAGGGAGGCTTACTGTAGAAGCCCAAAGGTTGGAAACCCCATAGCCTCAAACCCTATGTGTAATGTAGAGGGAATCCCAGCACTATTTAGCCTTAATCCGGTTTCCAACTTTATGGGGCTTACTGTAGTTTATTGGAATAGAACTTGAGGGAGGATATCGTGGTATTCATCGCCTGGACCCCTACGGCATAATACCGGCAAATTATGATTGCAACCCATAATTACCAATGCTAGGCTGTCCCGGATGCCCTATTCCAATGATTAAGGCCCGTATATCTATATAGAACCCGTATGGTAGTATCCCTACTCGAGGGACATTTTTCAACGGGCACTGATACCAAACCCAAATGACAGGAAGTCAAACATATCAGCCCGCCCCAATGTAAAACTAGAATTGAGGGTGGATCTAAGCCATTTACAGGTGGGTAGTTATTAGGTGGGTAGTTTCCCATAAGCCTCCCATACCACTCCTATAAGGTAAAGGGGTCTTATGGGAGTACTATGGAAGAGGAACTACCCACCTGTAATGGGCTTCTAGTGGAGGTTTTCGGATCTCAAACCCTAAACCCTAAACCCTAAACCCTAAACCGTTTTCGGATCTCAAACCCTAAACCCTAAACCCTAAACCCTAAACCGTTTTCGGATCTCAAACCCTAAACCCTAAAACCCTAACTCAGGCTCAGGGGCTCAGGGAAGTTTTTTTTTGAAGGGCTCCTTAAGGGGATCTATAGGGTTCCTTAAAGGATCTATAGGGTTTAGGGTTTAGGGCACTACTTGGGGGATCATAGGACTTAGTAGGTAAGTTTATTAACCTATGATGGCACACCCTTTCTCAGGGAAGTTTAGGGTTTAGGGATTTGGGTTTAGGGCTTAGGGTTTATGAGTGCCTAGGGTTTAGGGTTTATTAGGGTTTAGGGTTTATTGGAGTTTAGGGAAGTTTAGGGCTTCTTTTTGTTCGAAGGCTCGGATCAGCCGAATAATCCGCAGCCCTCGTGCCGAGCGAGCCAGCCGCAGAATTCCTGAGTCAGCCGCCCATAAACAAAGACCCTAGGGCCTCATGTAGGGGCCTTAATATTTGAATAGGGTTTTGGTGCCCACTCTCTTAGAATAAGGAACCTCCCAATAGTATTCATAAGTATTTTTGCCCCTATATCAGGGCCCAGGGTTTAGGGGCGGATGTGGGACGCTTCTGCAAAGACTTAGTGGCACCTGATTTCAGGGTCTGTATGGAGGATCACGGAGGAGCCAAACAAATTCAGGGATTCTATGAAGATTCCGTACTTCCTGCAGCATACTCACAGTAATCACAATAATCGTGCAGGTCATACTGTACTTACAACTGTCCCATAAACCCTGATATGCCCTATAGAACCCTTATAGTACCCGCATGGAAACCCGAGTGAACCCGTAACTATACTTACAACTGTCCCCAACCTCCAAGTGCCACCATGGATCTCAGGATTCGAAAGGTCCCAGAGGCAAAGTTCTCCTCACAGGCTGCATTCCCACCGCAGCGAGCAGAAATCTCTATGCGCTACCATGAGTTTAAAGCCTTTTTAGTTTAGGTTCAGGGTGATTCAAAGGGGAAAACGAGGGACCCTTAATGGGGACCCCTACCCTACAATGGGCTATATAATGGGTATATACTAGCTATATTAAGGGTATATACCTAGGTGTCCTTATTAAGGGTCCCTTCTTTTACCCTTGGAGTGATGGCAGGCAACAAACCCTAAACAATAACCCTTCTGTCCGGGTAAAACATGCAACTTGCCCAAACTCTCAAAGAGCAGGTGCTCCTCAAGATCGAAGATCGGAGACTGGATTGCAGGGCCCATGAGATTTCATGCTCAGCCCGAGAGATCAGAGAAGTGCAACCCATGGCACCCTGAACCTCCTAGACACTCCATCTCCTTGCCCTCTATTAGACCCTAAATGCCCTTGCCTGGGACCATATACCCCTATTTGAGGGTATAAGGAGGGTTCTGGCTGTTCTTCGTGGCTTCGGCAACTCGGCGCCGGCGGAGCGTTGCGGGGCTTTTTGGATTAACACAGGGGCCTTAATAGTTTGAATAGGAAGTTTGGGGGCCCCTTGTACCATAATTATAATGAGGAGCCCCCAAAGTAGTACAGGTAATTTTCGAGGCTCGATCTTACCAGCTGAAGACTAGTCTTTCAGTCCTGCAAGATGAGGTCCACCAGCAGCTCCACAACGGACAGCGAGACCTTCAGTTTAGGGTTTAGGGCTTCGGCAAGAGCACCAAGAGTTTTCTGGCTGTGTTGAAGGTATGGGAGGGTGGCCTGTTGCAGACACAAGGGTGGTTGTCAAAATCATGGTCCCGTTTTGGGTCCCGATTGTAGTACGGTACCTATTATTTGGGGTACCCAAAAACGGGACCGTAATTTTGACAACGTACCCAGAAGTGGATCGACAGAACTGGATCTAGGTGCCCAGTGACCTAGGAATAAAAGGCTGCCTTATTGGTATTGGGTAGCTTTATAAGGAACCTAGGACTACAAAAAGGGAATAAGGGTAGTACTGGGCATGCTAGAGATACCCGAAAGATGAGACTGGCTTGCATCCTCCTCGCACTAGCAACATCCTGCGCAATGCAGATCAGTCCCGCAACCTGAACAGCCACTCAGTACCCTAGACCCTACCTGGAGGATCATGGAACTGAGTAACTAAGGTTATATCCAAGTAACTATGGTTATAATTGCTTATAGCTCCAATTAAATTAGGGTACCTGTAACCTTACCTACTTAGTCCCATGATCCTCCAAGTAAACGCTTCATGGCGGCCATCAACAAGTCGAAGATGTTCCAGCCGTACTCACCCGAGGTAAAGAACTTCCTGACACCGATGGTGGTCATGCGCCTTGGAGACACTGCTCGGCAGAATCATGGGCTCAGCAAAGGGATTTGCATTAAGGAAGTAGATCACCTAGACCTAAGAGTAACCTAGGAATAAAAAGGGTGCCCTTTTTGGTTTAAAGGGGGTTATAAGGGAACCTAAACCCTAAAGAAGGGAATAAGGGCCTAATTACTCCGGGTCCTAGTCACTTAGATCAGCTATCAATAGAGTGAGTTGCAAGCCCGGAGCTCCACTCATACTGCGCTCACTAGAATGTTGTCCAGGTCTTCATCATGTCATGAAACCATACGCCCAGAAGCCCTACATTAGTTCTATGCCCTAAGCCCAAAACCCCGAACCCTGAACCCTGAACCCCCGGCAACACTAAAACACTGGCTCACTGCTCGGAGGCGCAGCACGATTTCCAGCATGAAGAGGAAAGTAAAGGCCAGATGTGTGTAGACCATGACATCTGGAGGACTTTCCCCCAGGTGTGCAGCCTCCCATTCCTTGCATGGTATCAAAGGGGATAAGGAGGGACCCTTTCCTAAGGACCCCATAAAGCCATTATATACCCATTATATAGCCCATTACAGGGACCCAGGGGTCCCCACCCTTTGATGGTAGGACTACAGGGCTTTCGGAGTCTCAGAATTCTTCTTGCACTTCTTTGGGGCCGTGAACCTCTACCCCGAGGCCGCATAGTAGTTCCTGTTTTGGGCATATCTAGAATCCTATAAGGTAATCCCAAAAAGGAACCACTTTGGGGCCTATGGGTAGACTCTAAACCCTAAATCCTGTAAGGTTTCAAGGTTTGGGGCAGACTAGGGCTGACTTCTGCTGACTTTTCTCTGCAGAGCCTCTTGGCTGTCATTTTCTCAAGACATCGCAAGGCTTTTAGGGTTTTGGGCTTACACCATCAGGCCATCTCTTAGGTACCTGTTGCAACTAAGGGCTTGACATGCTTAAGTTTGTGGCTGAGGAGTTCCGCTAAAAACCCTAAACCCCCCAAAGTAGGTAACAAAAATGGCCCAACACATTATTCAACGTATTTGGGCTCCAGGTAGGCCTCAGGACTTTGGTATTTTCTGGGGCTTAGAATCCAACCAGACCTGCGGAAGTACGACAAAGCTTCTTCAGCTCGGGAGTCCCGCCGCTCCAGGAGCGACGCGGCAAGAACCCTTACAGACGCCCTGGCAGGGCCTTTACTATACTCCCCTGGGAACCATAATAAAAATGACATGTTTAATGTTCTCTTGGGTTTTATATGAACAAAAATGAAAAATAATTCCTGGGAGTTTCTGAAGATTGGGGGATACCTTTCGGGGGTCCTTATAATAAGGTCCTTATAAGAACAAAAATGAAAAATAATTCCTGGTCCTAAGGAGACTATAGTTTATGGTAGCCCCCGAAGCCCTCGTAAAAACCGCTATAGTAACCCTTTATACAGTGGTGACCCGTATGCCAGGTCAAAGGGACCATCATTGAAAAGCTTGGCCAATAGAGGGGCCTTTAAACGCAGAAGTAGAACAGGGTTTGGAGTGCATTATGTATACTAGGACCCATAAGCGAACACCATCAATAAACATGGTGTGGGGTAGATTATGCGTACCAGGAACTAGAAGGGAATACTTTTATTAATGGTTCAGACGCCATGGGTCCTATGTTATCCTGTTGCAAAGAGTGTCAGGTGCTGCAGTCGCAGCACAACAGCGGCCCCTTAACCCGAAACCCTAGTAGCATCGTTCTAGTAGAATAAGGTCTTGGCATATAGTGGAGTGTAGCTTCAAAGGATATGTTGAGGTGATGTTATGACTAGCTATTCCGACCCCCAAACCAAGCTCTGGCCAGCGACAATCTGAGCGCCGAGGAGGCCCGCATGCGACAGGATCAAAGCTGCGTAGAAGAACTCGAACTGCCAGGTGAGCACCTCAGCTTAGGGTTTGGGCTTCAGGGTGGCTTTGCTTGACAGCATCTCGTTTTTCTAGAGTGTAGCAGACCGGTCTCAACATTGAGGGAAGCTGGGACATTGCTCAATGAAGGGCTTCAGGGAGAATCTGGCTCGAAGGACTGGCATAGGTCAGCCCGACAGCTAGCAACAGGACTGCGTTCTTGTTTATGGCTTTGATTTAAGCTACCATAATAGGGATAGTAACTAGTTAATATGGTTTCTTCATTATGGTAGCTTAAACTAGGACCCTTAACAAGAACCCAGCGAAGCATCCCGCACCTGAATCCACCTATTTCCGAAATGCGGCGAGGCACCAACGGCGCAAGCAGCTGGCCAAGCCGTGTGTTCGTAGCAGTGAGGTCTCGTGTACCCGCAGATTTGAACGTCCGGAGAACGGACTTTGGGTCCTTTGTGTGTAGCGCCATAAACATAGGCGAAAGTACTTAGAGTTTTCGGATTAAGGGTCGAGGGTTTAGGGCAGGTTTATGGTTCTGGGGTGTGGGGCATTGAGTTTGGGGCTTGCTTTGGGTTTAGGCCCGTCTTCACTCGGCTGGTGAGTCTATGTATGTGTATCTGCTCTCAGTCAAATCTCTCCTGCTACGCCTTACGTGGGTAATGCTCTAAAATAGGGTGGGTCCCAAAAAGACTAAAATACCCTCATAACACTAATGGAGAGAACCAACTATGTGCCTTGTCGGGGTTCTAAAGGACCCCGAAGTCCTTGGAGAACAAACCCTCAACCCATCAACCCATCGACCCAAGACCCTAAACCCCTCCACCCCTAAACCTAACAACCCGAATCTAAACCAAAATGCCTGAAAAAAGCCTAGATAATCCTTATTCAGTTATAGTCACCCCTTATCGTAACCCCTTGCAGTGAACCACAAACCGCCAGCCCCATGCAGCCACCAAACGCTGCGCCGTGGTAAAAAGTTGCCACTCTGCTCCGCCGCGACGGCTTGCCTGAGCTGTAGAAAGGCCAGTATAACGGGTTACTATAAGGATCGCAAAATGGCGATACTGGTGACTAACAGAGTTACTAGAAGGGATACTACACGGAATCTGGTTCTGGCAGGATTGCTTCTTAGGGGATACTAACAGGGTCACCAGTACGGATTAAGTACTTCATGGATTCCAATATTCGTTGTAGGCCCTAAACCCCAAATCCCTTTTGAACCCTTTAAGCCTTAAAAGTTATTATTGTACGGGACCCTGAAAACCCTAAACTTCCCTAAACTGTTTGGAGGCTGAAGGCCCTCAACGCTGACTTGGGTCCAGGGTGCTCGTAGGAGTTCTGCTTCGAGAAGCGCGACACTTCCATGGACGCCAGAGCTCCGTTCTGCCACCGGGTTTACTAGGAGGGTCGGGGGAGTTAGTAAGTAGGCTTATAAGTACCCTAAAAGGGGCCCTAATTGGGGTTATAGTACTTATGAGTCCCTAAAATGACCAAACCCTGAAACCCTAAACCCTAAGCCTAACCGTAACCCCTAAACCCTAAAACCCTAAATCCTAAACCCTAAAACCCTAAAACCCTAAACCCTAAACCCTAAACCCTCCCCCGACCCTCCAAGTAGGGCTTCAGGAGTTTCAGGGGTCTACTATAGGGGCCTTAAGAATTAGAATAGGGTTTTGGGGCCCATTATACTATAATACTTATGACGAGGAACCCCCAAAATAGTATAGGCAATTACTAAGGCCCCTATATTAGGGTCTAGAGATTCGGCTTCGGGGCTTGGGATCAGGATTCGGAGCTTTGGGTAAAGAGGTCGCCTGAAGACAGGGTTCGTTTAGCAAGGGGGAACTATCCGGGCCTAAACTTCCTAAACCCTAAACCCCCAAACCCAAAACCCTAAACCGCACCTTAGTGGAGCCCCTCCGTGATGTTTGTGGGGTCAACGTCGGCGCTTTCTCGCTTGCCATACCCGCCGACGGCAAGTCCTCGCAGGTCGATGCAAAACTTGGAAGGGCAGGGGACTTAGTAAGTAGGTTATAAGTAGAGATATAAGTACCCTAAATAGAGTTACCCCAATTGTAACCCTACTTATAACCTACTTACTAAGTCCCCTGCCCTTCCAAACATGGGCTCGGATCTAGAAAGACCAGTTTATCCTCAAGTCAGGAATATACCTAAACGAACAAAATCAGAATCTGAGATATGATACAGTTGTCGTATGTATACATATCTATCTATCTATCTATATATGTATATTTATATGCATTTGTATCTATGTACATAAGCATATTTCATTCCTTAATCAAAATGCTTTGGATTTGTTGTTGAGAGGGTTTTGCGGCCCGGACTGGGCAACTCCCTGGCAACGGCCAAGCATGATGCTAAGGCTCCATGTTCCCATAAGGGGCTCCGTTAAGGGTTCGTTTCGGGGGTGCGTTTAGGGTTTCGGGTTTCGGGTATAAGTGTATAGAATATGCGTAGGCCGCAAAAGTTTCTGTAAAGGGACCCATTTAAAGCCCAAGTATATGCTGTATGACTATATCTGTATCGGTACATGGAGCCATACACTTATACTCCAAACCCTAAGCCCTTAGGGTAACCTTACAGTACCCCTTAACATACCCCCTTAAAGGAACCCTTATGGGCACATGCAGCCTTAGATTGGGTTCTTGTTAAAGGGTTTAATTTAAGTTGCCATGATAAGGAAAGCCAACCATTTACTATATACACCGATCATGGTAGCTTAAATTTCCCCAACCGTTTAAGGAGCCACTAAAGTATCTATAAGTATAGTTACCTGACTTATAACCCTAGCCCATGATCCTCCAGGTGGGAGTTTCCGAAAATAGGGGTCCCTAAGAAAGTACCCTACATAGTAGGATCCTTATTATAAGGACCCCCAAAAAACCGTACCCCTAATTTTCGGAAACTCTAAACCCCCATAGTTTCCCTTTAAAGGAACCCTTATAGTACCCGTATAGTAACCTAGACCCAAGAGTAACCAAGGAATAAAAAGGGTGCCCTTTTTGGTTTAAAGGGGCTTATAAGGGAACCTGAACCCTAAAAAAGGGAATAAGGGCCTACTCTAGGTCCTAGTTTAAAAAAGCAACCTTACAGTAGAGGCAGGGACCAAGGCAGGGGAGTGCGAGCCTGCGACTTCAGGGCCGTCACTGCCAGTGTTGCGTCCTGACACGTCCAAATGCAATGCAGTCCAGGGTTTAGGGGTCTAGGGTTTGGGGTTTAGGGGTTTGGGGTTTGGGATTTAGGGGTTAGGGGTTTGGGATTTAGGGGCTAGGGGTTTAGGGTTAAGGGGTTTAGGGTCTAGGTCACATATTGAAGTTGCTTGGTGCTTTACCGAAGTATCCCGCGCGATCTCAGACAACACCCGGCCAACCAGTATTGGACCAGCGATACGGTAGTCAGTACAGGTAGCAGAAGTCATCCTAGTCTGAACACCAAAACAGAGACAAGCTCGCACAAGAAGCCGTAGTCTTGTATATGTTAGTGAATCGCAGTGGCCATCGGTATAAGGTAAAGGCGGGCACCAGAATTCGAAATAATGCAGGGCCCTCAGGGCTTTGGTGTCATTAGAACAAAAGCATAATATCCCACAAACCCTATTCTAATTATTAAGGCCCCAAAATCATTCAATCCTCCAGGATCGGCTGCAGATCCGTGTGCACGGGCAGTTCTGCTGGTCTGGTCAGGTCGACACCTGGTTTCACCACCGACGAGGAGTGGACCTGCCAGGGACCGTGACAGCCCTGGCACGGCACAGGCTTCATGGAAAAAACCGGAAAACCCAAACCCGAACGCCCCAACACCCTAAGGTAAAAGCCAGAAAGTTGGAATATGATTATCCTAACCCTTCTATGGTAAATTATAGGGTATCCTACCATGAAGCCATATTCCAACTTTCTGGAGTTCCCTGTAAGCACGCCTGCGCGGGCTCTTCTGAGACTGTCGCAGGCAGGTGACCGCGAAGCCTCGACGCGCACAGCACTCTTCGCATAAACCCAAATGCGTCTTACCGAAGGATTCTGCCCTCGATCGTGTTAAGGATCCGTTCATAAAAACTTTGATATGTATATATATATATATATATATATGTATATATATACATTTTTATATTCAGAGAGAGAGAGAGAGAGAGAGAGTGTGATGCTTTTTGTTTAGGGCTTTGTTTATTGTGTTTCTCCATTTATTCATACGAGGTACTAACCTCCCTGGGTCTTCACAGTTCCTCAAGGACTTCCTTTCCCGCTACACTTTCAGAGGCGTCCTTGTAGGATGCCTTACGGCTCAAGGGCCCCTTTAAAGGGATCTATAGGGATTCTAGAAGGGTATAGGGTTTAGGGTTTAGGGGGACTTAGTAAGTAAGGTTATTTCAAGGACTTATAGGTACCATAACCCCAATTAGGGTCCCTTTTCGGGTACTTATAAGTCTACTTACTACCTACTTACTAAGTCCCCCGACCCTCCAAGTATGGTAATCCAATTGGCAACCCTGTCAGCAACACTCATACGAATCCCCAGCCCAATCCAATGTAGAGGCCTCAATAACTAGAATAGGGTTTTGGGGCCCATTATACTATAATAATAGCAATGATAAGGAACCACAATAATTAATAGTATAGCTGATTGTGAAGGCCTCCACGTTGTAGTACCCTTATAGATCCCTTGTAGTAATCCTTATAGACCTCTTAAAGGAAACCTAGGAACCCTACTTGGAGGATCATGGGACTTAGTAAGTAAGGTTATAAGTACCCGAACTGGGGTTGTAAGTAATTATAAATATAGTTGCCGTATTTATAACCCTAGTTACTAAGTGCCGTGATCCTCCAAGTATTATTCCCAAACCTATTGGCCCGCGTCTGAGCCCAGGCGCATGGTTTCCAGGAGCTGCCGCTGCTCGAGGAGCCGCTTGTCCACCTGTGCTTCCGAACTGGTTTCGGGTTTAGGGGTTTAAGGTGTTTTGAGGTTTCGGGGTTTAAGGGTTTTTAAGGTTTCGGAGATTAAGGTTGAGGGGTTTAGGGGTTTCGGGTTTAGGGGTTTGAGGTTTCGGCATTTGAGGTTTAGGGGTTTCGGGTTTAGGGGTTTAAGGTGTTTTAAGGCTTCGGGGTTTAAGGTTTAGGGGTTCAGGGGTTTAGGGTTTAGGGGTTTAGGGGTTTAGGGGTTTAGGGTTTAGGGGTTCAGGGTTGAGGGGTTTAAGGTTTAGGGTTTTAGGGGTTTAGGGGTTTAGGGCTTTAGGGGTTTAGGGGCTCAGGGTTTAGGGGATTAAGGGTTTAGGGTTTGGGGGGTTAGGTTTAGTTTAGATTTGCGCTTTTCGTCGGAGAAGTGGTGAGCAGCCGTTTGCGCAGCGGGAAGTGCGGCACCAAGGACTTGCTCGAAGTACCGACGGTAAACGAATGTAAACGAGGCCCTAGCCTTCGGCGGAGGACTTGAAGGACTCACAGAGGGTCCACGCGATTCCATTGCCCGATCTGGCGTCACGGCCTTTTGCGCTGGGCCCGTGATCGTATGTCTTCAGACAAAGCTATTGCCCGTGCTGCAGTCATAAACCCAGAATAACCCAATGCCAAGAGGTAATATTGCTACTATGACAACTATCTAATACTTTGAATACTATGATTATTAGTATTATCGTTGTTATTCATATTATTATGATTACCACTATTGCTGCTGCTGCTACTGCTACTGCTACTGCTACTACTACTACTACTACTACTACTACTTCGACGACGACAACTACTACTACTGCTACTGCTAATGCTACTCCTCCTGCTGCTGCTACTGCTACTGCTACTACTACTACTACTACTACTACTACTACTACTACTACTACTACTACTGCTACTGCTACTGCTACTGCTACTGTTACTGCTACTACTACACGTACTGCTACTGCTACTGCTACTGCTACTGCGACGACGACTACTACTACTGCTACTCCTACTTATCCTACTATTCCCACTATTGCTACTATTACTACAACTACGACGATTACTATGATTGTACGTTACGGCTACGATGACCGCGAGGGTACCTATAGTCTCCATTGTAGTTCCTTTTGTGGGTTTAACCAAATAGATAAATAGGATCCTATAAGGTAACCGCAAAAAGGAACTACAGTGGAGACTCTATTCTAAACCCTAAACCCCTTTAAAGGAACCCACAACCCCTTTAAAAGGAACTACAATGGAGACTCTATTCTAAACCCTAAACCCCTTTAAAAGGAACCCTAAACCCCTTTAAAGGAACCCACAACCCCTTTAAAAGGAACTACAATGGAGACTCTATTCTAAACCCTAAACCCCTTTAAAGGAACCCACAACCCCTTTAAAAGGAACTACAATGGAGACTCTATTCTAAACCCTAAACCCCTTTAAAAGGAACCCTAAACCCCTTTAAAGGAACCCACAACCCCTTTAAAAGGAACTGCAATGGAGACTCTATTCTAAACCCTAAACCCCTTTAAAAGGAACCCTAAACCCCTTTAAAGGAACCCACAACCCCTTTAAAAGGAACTACAATGGAGACTCTATTCTAAACCCTAAACCCCTTTAAAAGGAACCCTAAACCCCTTTAAAGGAACCCACAACCCCTTTAAAAGGAACTACAATGGAGACTCTGTTCTAAACCCTAAACCCCTTTAAAAGGAACCCTAAACCCCTTTAAAGGAACCCAAAACCCCTTTAAAAGGAACTACAATGGAGACTATAGGTAAACCCTAAACCCTAAACCCTAAACTCTAAACCGTGGCACCAGGCTGCCTCCTCGAGCAGGAGCTGGAAGCGATCTTCGAGCAGCTTCTGAAGCAGCGCCATGGCGGCAGAGCGCTCGGAAGGCCTACTTGGAAGGGCAGGGGACTTAGTAAGTAGGTTACAAGTAGGGTTATAATTGGGGTAACTCTATTTAGGGTACTTATAACTCTACTTATAAACTACTTACTAAGTCCCCCGACCCTCCAAGTACACCCCTACCCTAAGGCTCAAGATGGCCCGAAAGGCTTTTGTAATAAGGTCTTTAGGCCCAAAAGCCTTAAAGTAGAAGCTGTTGGAGCCTTAGGGCTGGGGTTTAGCCTTCTCCCTACACCCCCAAACGAAAAAAAGCTTTGAAGCACAGAGCGCGTTCAGACTTCCGGAAGCTGTGGGCTGCTTGGCTTTGAGACACGGGGAAACTGAAAGGGCATCATGATGCAGTCACCGTAGAGTTGTAGCAAAATATACACCAAAACCCAAGAACCTCCCAAATCCTCTTTAATGGAGCCCTTGTGGTCCTTCATAGCGGGTATTGAAGGTATATCTTAAAGGGTAGTTGAGGTGGTCATGGACCTCTGCTCGTTGACTTCGGCTGCACAGGAGGCGGCGGGGAAGTTGTCGTGCAGGCGGGCATCTTCCAGCAAGCAGCGGAACAAACACTTTTAGGGTTCAATATGGGTGATTGTCAAAATTAGGGTCCCTTTTTGGGTACCCTAAACATTAGGTGCTGTATTATAACAATGACAAAAAGGGACCCCATTTTGACAACCACCCATATCGTGGCCTAAAATTAGAACGTGGTTTTGGGTATATGATACTACAATCCTAATACTAAGGAACCCCCAATGAAGGCCCCTGTACTAGGGTTCTGGGTTTAGGGTTCAGGGTCTCCATTTCTTGAGAAGGCACGGACACGATTTCATCATCTGAGACCGTCACGGATGCATGTCCAGCTGCTGAAGCTGTGTAGACGGCCGCAGCACCTTGATTTGCTTGTGTGAACTCTCTGACATACCCCATCTCAGATGGCTGTGAAAGAGTGTAAGCTCACTCTCAACCCTTCACGTCATTTAACATCCAGAAACCACCTGTAGTCGAAAAAACCTACCTTGTAGGGAGCTGCCAGTCTTGTGCCTCAAAAGGGGTCGGTTTTTTTCGGCCACAGGAAGAACGCCTAAACCCTGAACCCCAAGCCCAAACCCCTAAACCCTAAAACCCTCAACCCTAGAAACCCTAAGCCCGAAACACTATAATGAGGACCCGTCAAGGACCCTTTAATAGAGTCCTTAGTAGTAGGTATTCGGGGTCTATTAGAGGATAGTTGAGCGGTCTAGGTAAACCCCTACTTGGAGGGTCGGGGACTTAGTAACTGGTTATGTTAGGGACTTAGTACCCTAAAAGGGACCCTAATTGGGGCTATGGTACTTATAAGTCCCTAAAATCGCCAGTTACTAAGTCCCCCTAAACCCTAAACCCTATACCCTTATAGAATCCCTATAGATCCCATTTAAAGGGGCCCTTAAGGAACCCATGGTGTTACTAAGTCCCCCGACCCTCCAAGTACGCCTAAGCCGTAAACGCGGGCGCCAACGCCGGGCCCCCGGCTGCCTACGGAGCGCTGGCGCGCACGCTGCTGCGAGCGGGCCCTGCGACGCTACTTGGAGGATCATGGGACTTAGTAAGTAAGGTTATAAGTACCCTAACTAACTGGGGTTGTAAGTAATTATAAATATAGTTGCCTTATTTATAACCCTAGTTACTAAGTGCCGTGATCCTCCAAGTAGGGCTTCCATGCGGTTTAGGGCTTAGGGCTAAAGGATCTATATGGGGGTTCAAGGTTCCTTAAAGGGTTCAATAAAGGGATCTATATAGGGTTTAATAGGGGTTTAGGGCTTAAGGCGGGTTTTAGGTTCGAAATCGGCGTGGGTTTAGAGTTCAAGGGTTTATATGGGTTGGGTTTAGGGCTTAACGGCTCAACATAGAAGCCTAACCCTAAGGCTCAAAACGGCCCAACAGCCTTATAATATGGTCTTTGGGCCTAAAAGCCGTAAACTATGAACTTATTTTGATTCTACTATGCAGCAGCCCAAACCCCTATTCTCGCCGCTAAGGCCCCTACATGAGAGATGCTCTGACTCTGGAGCCATCATGAAGGAAACGGTTAAGCACTGGAATCATCAACAGAGAGCTTCACCCTCAGCCTCTGTCTGGTTCTCAGTAGGGAATCGGGGAAGGGATTATGGAGACTATAATTTATTGGGGATTATAAAGCGACTGCTATAGGGATCCATTCCCCCGTTCCCTACTAAGCACCCGACAGACCTTCCAGGCATGGCGCCAACTTCAAAGACCCTATCGTGCCTTTAGGACATCGACCCCTAAAACCCCAAACCCTCACCTTGACCCCAGATAACAACCATAGTAGGGAACCCTGAAAGGGAAGGATTGATAGGGCCCAGGCAACCGCCGTAAATCCTGTCAAAGGGCCCCGGCCCCATCCTGGAGAATTTGGATTCCAAGGATAGAAGGAGGGACCCTTAATAAGGACCCCTAGGTATATCCTCTTAATGTATAGCAATTATATACCCATTATATAGCCCATTATAGGGTAGGGGTCCCCATTAAGGGTCCCTCCTTTGCCCCTTTGATACACCCTAAACCCTAAACCCTTTATAGAATCCTTATAGATCCCTTTAAAGGTACCCTTAAAGGGTCCCTTCTTTTCCCCTTTGGGAGGGAGGCCGGCCTAGCGCGCTTGGCGCGGCTAGGGCCGCGGGTGGCCCGCGGCGGGGGGGGGCCCGGAGCCGGCGCGGCACGCGCCTCAGACTAGGCTCCCGGAGACTCCAAAACCCCTTAATTAAGGAATATACCTTAAACCTAGGGTTCCTTAAAGGGATCTATAAAGGGATCTATAAGGAATATACCTTATGAAGATTCGGAGGCTTAGAACCCAGAGCCTCCAAAACCCCTTAATTAAGGAATATGCCGTAAATCAGATTAAGGATCCCATTATGATTTAAGGTATCATTTTTTACTTAAGGGGTTTTGGAGTCTCTGGGATCTGAATTTAAGGGCTCCTTTAATGTTTCCTTTTGTGGCTCTAAAAGGGTTCTATACGTTCTACAAGGTTTAAAAAGTAAGGTTAATGTAGTAAAAAGAAACCACATCATTCACTCTAGATCCCCAGTACATAACTTAAACTAAACGAGAGCCCAGCAGAGGGGACTGGGAGGGACCGTGCCGCTAGAGACGATGGTTCAGGAGTGTTATAAGGGTTCTCTATGGCTGTTAAGTTAGGGACCCAAAGAGCCCAATAAATTTATGAATATACTTTAAATAATAAGGGGATCCATATTATGATTTATGCTATATTCCTGAACTAAGGGGTATTGGGCTCTCTGGGGATATGGATCTTTTCAAAAGAGATGGCTTGGAGTACTCTGGATCGTTGGGTCGAGACATCTCACGCGCCTTGACGCTTTCTGTTGCCTCAGCGTTCCGCGTGGGATTTCGATGAACGGACACTCGAAAAAGGCCTGGCAACTCAAAGTGGCAAAACACCATGGGCGTGCCCAGACCTTCCAAAATCCACTAACCAAGGAAGATGCCATAAATTATAGCAGGATCCCGTAAATGATTTGGAGCAATTTCCTGAATTACGGGACATAGCCCCGTCCAAGTACCCAATAATCACATACTCTCCAAAATCCTAACCTACATAACTACTATCCTAAAACCGGGTACTTAATTATTGGGTCCGTCGGGCTTGGGGTAATGGGATTTAGCCTTAAACCTGAACCCTAAACCCTAAGACCCTAAGATCCTAAACCCGCTCCGTTGTGCTTGGCTTTCGAAGCCAAGGCCCGGTCCGTTGGGGATTCCCAGGGCGCCTGAAATACCTCAGTATCGACCCTTTAGGGTTTAGGGTTTAGGAGAGAACCCAACAACCCTTAATTAAAAAAATATACCTTAAACTATAACAGGAGCCCTGTTATGATGTTCAGACATATTCCGTGATTAAGGGGTTCAGGAGTCTCTCGAGGGAAGGAAAGGAGCGACTTCGGACTTGGTAAGTACAGTTTTTGGTACCTAGACAAGGTTTATAAGTATCATAACTGCGTATAGTTACGTTGTTTATAACCCTAGTCACTAAAGTTCTAAGAAAACCCTGAACCTTAAACCCCAAAAGATCCCTCAAAGAACCCGTTAAGGAACCCCTTGAGGAGCCGTTGATAAGTCCCGTGAACCTCCCAGAAGTGAGGGAGTTGGGGCTTGGCAGCCTACTGGCCGTCGCACAGAGGTTCAGGGTCAGCGGTTTAGGGTTTAGGGTTAAGTAGGCTTCTACCCCTCAAACTCTAAACCCCCAGCCCCAAAAACCCTAAACCCCCTAAAGCCCAAAACCCCTCAAACCCCAAACCCTATCTAGTGCCCTTATAGATCCCTCAAAGACCCCTTCAAGATCCCTAAGACCCTAAAATTTGTATCGCTGGCTCTCGGCGCCACACGAACTCACCGGTCAACTGCTCCTCGAAGGGCTCATCGTGGTAGCGGTACCTCGGGATTGGCCCAGAGCCTCCAAAACCCCTTAATTAAGAAATATACCTTAAAGTATAGTAGGATCCATAATATGATTTGGTATATTTCTTAATTAGGCCCTTAATTAAGGAATATACCTTAAATCATATTATGATCCGTGTTCAAAGGGGTGTAGCGGTTTAGCGGTTTAGGGGTTTAGGGGTTTACAGGCTTTTGGGTTTAGCGGTTTAGGGGTTTAGGGGTTTAGGGGTTTAGGGGGTTTAGAGGCTTAGGGGTTTAGGGGTTTACAGGCTTTTGGGTTTGGGGGCTTAGGGTTTAGGGTTTACAGGGTTTAGCGGTTTAGGGGTTTAGGGGTTTAGAGGCTTTTGGGATTGGGGGCTTAGGGTTTAGGGTTTACAGGGTTTAGGGGTTTAGGGTTTACAGGGTTTAGGGGTTTAGGGGTTTAGGGTTCAGGGTTTAGGGGTTTAGGGTTTAGGCTTTTGGGGTTTAGGGGTCGCTGTAGAATGGCGAGCAGGCGGCAGTACCTTCGGTCAAGGCTGTGTCGGCCGCGTCATGCCGTGGTGATGAGCTGTCAAAGACTAACTCAGTTCCCAACCCCAAACCCCTAAACCCTAAACCCAATCTTCCGTGTGCTTTTCTTTCCCAGTCAGCACCACTACCACCCGAGCCCCAATGGGGATTTCAGGAAACAAGAATTCCCGACCTCAGGAGCTGTTCGTATGTAAGGAGCAGATAGTGGGCCCGCAGACCTTCCCAGAGCCTCCGAAACCCCTTAATTAAGGAATATACCTTAAAGTATAGTAGGATCCATAATATGATTTAAGGTATATTCCTTGATTGAGGGGTTTTGGAGGCTCTGGGTTCGTATGTCAGGAGCAGATAGTGGGCCCGCAGACCTTTCCATAGTTCAAGGGATATGCCGCTTTCAAGCGTAGTGTGCTCTCTAAGTCAATCTCCCAAACTCAACCCTAAACCCTGAACCCTGAACCCTAAACCCTATAAACCCGATATCGTAAAGCCTAAACCCTAAAGGCCCTGAACAAAATACTCTACACTTTAGACCCTATACCCGAAAGGCCCGACAGGCCCTAAAGGCCCGACAGGCCCCTACTTGGAGGATCATGGGACTTAATGACTAGGGTTATAAATAGAGTAACTATACTTATAACTCCAATTCGGGTACTCTTATAACCTTACTTACTAAGTCCCATGATCCTCCAAGTAGTACTCTAAACCCTAAACCCGATAGATCCCTATATAGAACCCTATAGCTCCCTTTAAGGAGCCCTTTAAGAACCCTTACTAAGTCCCATGATCCTCCAAGTAGAGGCCCTAAACCCAGCAATCGAGGAGTGGATCCGAGGCTTGGGGCGACAGATTCGCTGCCAAGGCCAACTCCCTGTCCATTAACTGGATCACCTGCAAGGGAACCCTAACAGTTCCGTTAAGGGAACCCTAGGGGTTCCTTTAAGGGAACCCTAGGGGCGCTCCTTTAAGGGAATCCCAAGGGCTCCTTTAAGGGATCTATAATGGATTATAAAAAAAGGGTGTTACTTACTGAATCACCTGCAAGGCGTTAAGGCTTTGGGCTCTTTAGGGCTTTCGCATTGTAGGGGTTTTAGGGGTTTAGGGCTTAAAGGGCTTGGGGTTTGCGGTTTAGGGGTTTAGGGTTTGGGGGTTTAGGGTGTAGGAAGCCCTTCGAAAAAGTAGCGGCTCTACGTGTTTAAAAGGGGGTTCAGAAAGATTTACGTAGAACTAAGCCCTAGAAGCCTAGCAATGAACCCCGAAAGCGTCTCGACAGCGAGGATGCAACGCTGACTGCTCTCAGGTCTATATGCCGTATACATCAACTCGAAGCTCGCTCGGGCACATGTTTGCTAAGGCCATGACAGCCTGCGCTCGGCATTTTCTAAACGACAGCAAGCTTCCGTTGAGCTCGTTCCATCAGCTCCGATTGAAAAGTCGGAGCATGTCTAGAGGCAGAGGTTTCTGGAATCCCGCTTCTGCTTTCAAAATGGCACAGTCTTAATGTCTTAGCCTGTGGGAGTATCATTCATGGCATTTACAAAAGCGCGTTCTACAAACAACTTGCAGGGGGCCAAGCCATCCCACGACGGCGCAATTGCGCAAGTCTGCAAGTAAACTGCCGCACTTGAACTCGCTGTACACTGCAAAGGTGAGGGCCTCTTGCACCTCCCTGCAGCCGGAACAGGCGTGGCTAACAAGGTCTGGAGCTGTTAAAGACTTCTGCTTACGATCTTCATTCAACTGCTGCTATGATATCGCTGTGATATCTACCTCGGTTCTGTGGCTCAAGTCATCCTCCAGCCCCTAGCCCCTTGGCTGCCCGGGTGGGGGAATCATCAAAGCAGAACGACACAGACCTGCTCCTGCTCAAGCCCGATTGCTTCAGAGCTTGGTCGCGAGCCTCTGCAGTGCAGGCTATCGCGTTAGGGTTTAGGGTTTAGGGCTTAGGGGTTTGGTGTTCAGGGTTTAGGCTTTTAGGGTGGCAGCAAGCTTATCACACGGCTCCGGGTGGTGTGGGGAAAATGCCGCTGGTTCTGGGAATGGGGTAGCTGGTTCAGGTGTCACTGCATCGCAGCCCATAACGAAGATTGCATGGGCCTGACAGGATAGCTCTGTCCAGACCTTCAAAACCCTGGAACCCTAAACCCTTCAACCCTAAACCCTTCAACGCTAAAACCCGCAGACCCGATACCCTAAAAACCTACACTGCAGAAGCCCGAGACTTAATCTGGCGCCCTACTTGGATGATCATGGCACTGAGTGACTAGGGTTATAAATAAGGCAACTACACTTATAACTCCAATTCGGGTACTTATAACCTCAGTACTCAGTTGCATGATCCTCCAAGTACACCCTAAAGCGCGGAGGGGCGGCACCTGCTTCAGCTCGGCGGCGGCAGCGAGTACGAACTCGGCGATCATCTTGTTCCCAACGGATCGGAATCCCAGGAAGCCAAACCTTGAAAGGTACAGGGTTTCGGTTTAGGGTTCAGGTTTAGGGTCCTAAATCCACATCAAGAAAAATGTCTAGGGTTTTTACGAAGTGTGAGGGTTAGGAAGTACTGTTTGGAAATTTTCAGAAACGAGGGCCTAGTGAACGCGGCTTTAGTGATTCACGGCTTAAGATGTGGAATCTAGCCTCAGGGTCTCGGAATAAGTGGGAGCCAAGCTTTGAGGTCCTAGTTTGGCTTTCAAGGGTTTGCGGCACACGGCTTTACGATCCAGGGTTTACGGCTTAGTCTCGTGGAGGCCAAGAAAAATCATGCTTTGCAAGCTTATCCTTGCGGCGGAGCAGCTTGCACCCGTGGGCACCACGACGCCTTAGCTGCTTCTGCCCTGCAGTCACTCACCCTTGTCCTTTTAGAAATAATAGACAGAGCCCTATACCTATATCCCTTAGTAGGAAATATTTAGGGTCTACTAGCCGGTCTGTTTATTCTTTTGGGGGAACCATGAATAAAGGACAAGGTTGCAGTCACTGGTTCAGCCAGCACAAGATGCAGACAAAAACTCTCGGCCCTCTGTTCATCCCAGAATGGCAACAGCCCAAGGCTGCCTAGACTGGCATGGTTTAGGGGTTTAGGGGTTTAGGGTTCAGGGCTTAGGGCTTAGGACTGCTGCTGGAATTGCCTGAACCACACTGCCAGCACAGGTGCAGATCTGCCAACGCAAGATAAGGGTTGCTCTCAATTTCGGCGCGATGGTCCTGGCTCAAGCAGACTGAGCATCAGTTCCAATGCACTCAGTCAAAAGCCTCTGCCAGAGCCTAAACCAAACCTGAACCCAAGCCCTCTGTTTTCCAACTTACCTTTGGTTAGTAAGGAATGGAGGAATGGGGTACAAGTATAACTGCTATTACTACCATTCTTCCATTCCCTACTAACCAAAGGTATGTTATAGGATTGGTAAGGCCCCTATATTATAGTACCCTTATAGATGCCTTATAGTAACCCTTATAGACCCCTTTATAAGGCCCCTTTAATTCTCTACTAACCAAAGGTAAGCCAAAGGCCGAGCATCCTCCACGTTGTCCCAGACAGAGATGGGATCATCCCGCCTTGGAGCGCAACTTATAGGATCCTTAAGGGAGGGTGGTTCAAGGGGGGAGGGTATAAGGAATCCTTAGGGGACTGTAAGGGAACCTTAGGGAGTACTAGGGAGAATTGGGGATCACTAGGCTATATTCCCCCTTGGAGCCCCCTCGCTTAAGGATACTATAATTGGAGCGCAACTGTCCAGGCGATACGAAGCCAGCTTGCTCAATACTAGGAGGGTCGGGGGACTTAGTAACATAATGGGTTCCTTAAGGGCCCCTGTAAATGGGATCTATAGGGATTCTAGAAGGGTATAGGGTTTAGGGTTTAGGGGGACTTAGTAACTGGTTATTTTAGGGACTTATAAGTACCATAAGCCCAATTAGGGTCCCTTTTAGGGTACTTATAAGTCCCTAAAACAACCAGTTACTAAGTCCCCCGACCCTCCAAGTAAGTCCAGTCAACCCCCAGTACCAATCATTCGAGCATTGTTGTATAATAGGTATAAGTCTAGTGTATTGGACCTCTATGTATGATTTGCAGGTCTCGGTTGTTTCGAAGGACGCATAGGGATAGGAGAATACAGAAACCAATTTCAATAATTTCAATTTTTTCAAAAATTTTTCCTTTTGAGGAAAATTATTGAAAAAATTGAAATTTTTGAAAAAATAAAGACCTGGCCAGGCCCGGCCGTCGCAGGCCAGGATTCTTTAAAATTTTTGAAAAAATTGAAATTTTTGAAATTTTTGAAAAAATAAAAACAATTTTTTCAAAAATTTCAATTTTTTCAAAAAATTTTCCTTTTGAGGAAAATTATTGAAAAACTTGAAATTTTTGAAAAAATAAAGACTCTGGCCAGGCCCGGCCGTCGCAGGCCAGGATTCTTTAAAATTTTTGAAAAAATTGAAATTTTTGAAATTTTTGAAAAAATAAAGACAATTTTTTCAAAAATTTCAATTTTTTCAAAAAATTTTCCTTTTGAGTGAAATATTTGACAAAATTGAAATTTTTGAAAAAATTGTCTTTATTTTTTCAAAAATTTCAATTTTTTCAAAAAATTTAAAGAATCCTGGCCTGCGACGGCCGGGCCTGGCCAGAGTCTTTATTTTTTCAAAAATTTCAATTTTTCCAAAAATTTTCCTCAAAAGGAAAAATTTTTGAAAAAATTAAAATTTTTGAAAAAATTGTCTTTATTTTTTCAAAAATTTCAAAAATTTCAATTTTTTCAAAAATTTTAAAGAATCCTGGCCTGCGACGGCCGGGCCTGGCCAGGTCTTTATTTTTTCAAAAATTTCAATTTTTTCAAAAATTTTCCTCAAAAGGAAAAATTTTTGAAAAAATTGAAATTTTTGAAAAAATTGTCTTTATTTTTTCAAAAATTTCAAAAATTTCAATTTTTTCAAAAATTTTAAAGAATCCTGGCCTGCGACGGCCGGGCCTGGCCAGGTCTTTATTTTTTCAAAAATTTCAATTTTTTCAATAATTTTCCTCAAAAGGAAAAATTTTTGAAAAAATTGAAATTTTTGAAAAAATTGTCTTTATTTTTTCAAAAATTTCAATAATTTCAATTTTTTCAAAAATTTTAAAGAATCCTGAGGGCCGCGCCTGGCCAGGGTCTTTATTTTTTCAATAATTTCAATTTTTTCAAAAATTTTCATCAAAAGGAAAAAATTTTGAAAAAATTGAAATTGTTGAAAAAATTGTCTTTATTTTTTCAAAAATTTCAATAATTTCAATTTTTTCAAAAAATTTTAAAGAATCCTGGTTTGCGACGGCCGCGCCTGGCCAGGTCTTTAGTTTTTCAAATAGTTTCATTGTTTCAACAATTGTTCCTTTTGAGGGAATTTATTCGATACGCTTTGAAACAATTGTCTTTATTTGTTCGAGAATTTCAAGCTTTTTCCAAATTATTAAAGAATCCTGGTGTGCGACAGCTGGGCCTGGTGATAGGGCGGAGGCTGGAATAAGGAATAACGAAAAGGAGACTGGAATAAGGAATAAAAATAGGAGACTGGAATAAGGAATAACGAAAAGAACACTGGAATAAGGAATAACGAAAAGGAGACTGGAATAGGGAATAAACATAGGAGACTGGTATAAGGAATAATGAAAAGAAGACTGGAATAAGGAATAACGAAAAGGAGACTGGAATAAGGAATAACAAAAAGGAGACTGGAATAAGGAATAACAAAAAGGAGACTGGAATAAGGAATAACGAAAAGGCGACTGGAATAAGGAATAACAAAGGGAGACTGGAATAAGGAATAACAAAAGGGAGACTGGAATAAGGAATAACGAAAAGGAGACTGGAACAAGGAATAACGAATAGGAGACTGGAATAAGGAATATAAAAATGATATTGGAACAAGGAATAAGGAGGCCGGAACAGGGACTAAGGCAAAAAAGACTGGAAGAAAGGAATAAAAGAGACTAGAATAGGGAATGAGCGAAGGAAGATTGCAACATGGAGCAACTACAACAGGAAAGGATACTGCAACATGCAGGTTTGGCCAAAGGAACCAAAGGAAAAACTTGAATGCGAAGTGAGACAAGAATAACGAACAAGGATTGCAGCAACATGGATAGGAACAAGAAACACGCTGTAAATGGGACGAGAATAAAGGCCAGTATAGTATGAGGACGCAGGAACAACACAAGCTTAAGTTCAGAGGGGTCGGAAGCAGTCGCCGTCCCTGCTGACGTCTCTGGGGCAGGCAGCATCAATATCAGGGCATCAGTGAGTGCCTGCTTGATGCACCAAACAAAAGTATACCGCGCCAGGAACCGTGGATGCAGTGCAGCTCGGAGGCCATCGGAAGTCCGTGGGCATCGCGGGCTGCTTGACACAGCATATGCAATGTATGACTAGGAGTCAGCTTTGGTGTTTCGTTGCGCCAACCTTGATGCTGTGAAACGTGATCTGCAAACTCCAGGCGATCACGTCTTTGGACAGCTTTCCGGCTTTGCAGTAGGCCGTGATGAAGGCAGTGCCGCCGCACTTCTTTTACCAAGCGAGTGTAGACAGCCTGGCCAGTCTAATCAGTCTAGTCGCTAGTCTTGGACGGAGTGAGCAGCGTCAGGATGCTTGGATTTCATGACGGGCTTGAAGCTTGCCGCACTCGGCAAAAGTTCCCGGTCCATCGACTGGTATTGGGAAGCTTCGGGACAGCGACCTCCTGCCCGCCTGTCCAAGGTGGAGTTGCAGCAACTCTCCCGAAAGCAACGCAAGCGCCGCCGTGAGGGGATGTATTGGGACAACGTCCTAGCACATACTATCAGGCAAAACGTCCGTGGAGAGAAAGCAAGGCTACTCAAGCAGGAGAGAGACGACTGGCGGGTACTTACCGAGACTTACGACAAGACGGGAGCTCGGGACTCAGCGAGCCTCCGTATGGATTGCAAATGCAGCTCGGCTTTTATGTTACGCTGTGGTCGCTTGTGTCTAAGTCACACACCGTGCGAAAACAATACAATGATAAGACTACTGCGGTCTGCGTCTGAGGTACTCCTGACTGGTGTGCTCCAGGGTATCGCCAAGTGCCAGAGAAGTATCAAGACTGTTGCCTTGTGGACAGTCTTCGTGCCCTTGGGCACAAGGTGCAATATCCGGGAGACGGGCCGTGGCGAATCCGAGATGGCAATGCTTGGCTGCGCCCTCTGTCGAGCCTTGATACGTTAGTTGTATTTGTTTCTTTCTGGCTTTGTCACAGCACCGTAGTTCTGTGTCACATGCAGAGTGAGGAAGTACATGGAAGCGGTGGCTACAGAAACCTTGTTGACTGTGCCAGGGCAATATGTTCTAGCTTATAGCCATCACTTCGTGGCAGCCCGACTGACGTCGGAAGGCCACTTACAGGTGAACCTGTCCCACCGGAAGCATCAATGGCACAAACTGCTTGCGGGAGCAGGTGGCGGTGAATCGGCTCTTCGGTCTTGTTCGACCCAGCGTTGCATGATTCTGGACTATACTTTGCTGGATGCTGTTTTCGCAATTCGACTGGTGGAAGGCAGTTCGACCGCGAATCACACTGCTGAGGGGGCAGGAGCAGATTGTCCAGGGTGCCCAGTTGGATCAGGTTACATCGGGGGCAGCGTGCAGGAGGATGCAAAAGCGCACTGGCTGCGCATCACGCAAAACCGCGCTGTTGCACTGCTGAAGAAAAGGAAGCATGATGCGCAGTTCGATCCAAATGGTTCATTCGATGATCTGTGGGAGATGTCTATGTCGCCGGTGTGCTGCCCCACTTACGGCGTCAACACATCTAGAATCCGATTGCCTTTGCGTTGCCTGCACCAAGCACATGTGCCCCATCTTGGGCACGGCCCCTCCGACTTTCTTCGAGAAGCTCTTCCCCTGTCCTCGTGCTCTTTGCTGGAGATAACCAACAAGCACTCCCGCGACAAAGATATACGGTTTGAGCCGTGCACACACACTTACTATGTGAAGGGGCTACGTGTGTCATGTTCCGTGACAGGCTTAGTCCACAGGTTTGCCAACGAGTTTGATCCCGACAGATGCATCGCAAGAATGCAGCAGGGCCAGCGCTGGCCGAGACCCGAGTATTCCCACGCAAGTTCTGGTGTCCTCATCCCTTTCAGCGCAGCCGAGATCAAAGCTACGTGGCATGCGAATGGTGCGGAAGCATCGGCCAGGGGTACATGGCTTCATCATCAGGTGGAAGTCCTTCTGAATGGAGGCTCAGTTGAGGAAATGCCAACTGAGTTGGCTTTGTTTGCAGCTTTCCTGAAGACCTGTCCGAAACTCATGGCATTTCGCACGGAATGGTGCATATATTCTGATGACGATGATGTGGCAGGCTGCATCGATTTCGTTTGCTTGAACAAAGAGGGAAAAGCTGTACTTTTCGATTGGAAACGGACGAGAGACCTCTGCAACAAATTTCAGAACCCATGGTCCCGCATGAAAATGCCACTGGGTCACCTTGACGATTGCGCTGGCCAACATTATTCTCTTCAGCTTAACTTATACAAGCACATCTTGCAGAGGTACTACCATCTCGAA